TGAACAGCCACCAGCACCGTCGTGCAGGCGCTGAAGGCGATCAGCAGCATCTGGGGGTACTTGTACTGCACCTCCAGCTGCACCTCCACCATGGCCACCTGGGGGAGGAATAAAGAGCTTGTCAACACCTGCTGGGTTCCTCTTTTCAAGGCTTTCAGCCAGGAAAGCATCTTGATTCAGGAAGAACATCTAAGGTCAAGTACACACTCCAGAGGTTTTTAGGAATGGCAGCCCGGATAGATCACTGCTGTCACCCACGGGGACACACGCACCGCCTGCGCTGTGGCCCTTCTGAGACCCTGCTTTTCTCAAACAACACGTCTCTGAGCCACAGGAACTGCCCCAAACCCAGCACACAACAGAAGGAGCTCATTAGATGCCACTGGGGCTGAGAGGCAGCTAACAGCCTGCTATAACCCACCATCACACCCTCTAGTGCCACTCCTTTCTTGCGGCTGCAGCACAGGAAGTTTCAACTTCAGGCATGCAAAGAAAAGCAAAGCCAAGCAGCTCCTCTGGCCAGTGGCCAGCCAGGTTTCACTACCCACCATGGGAAGCACACAAGCTACTTTACAGCTCAAGTTAGCCCATAGTTAAAATAACTGCCTTCTATTCTCAGAATAGTTTACACTTGTTTTTATTACAAATATGCACAGATAAATAATTTTTAAGTTATTTATATCCTCAAATTTCTCCCTGGAGAGGTAATAACTCAGTGATACACCCAGCAGAAGTGGACAGCTACTGGCTTATGGGTGTGCTCAGCAATCAGGAGTCTGCTTCCCAAAACAAGAGCTATCACACAGCAGGTCTCTAAAGTTATTTTTACTTTAATCAAATAAAGCTTAAGCAGAATATGTGCAAGAGAGAAGGAGGCTCTTTTGCGATCAGAACTGGAGTCCTGTTAACTGGTTTAGCTTAAGAATTTTTATAATTAAGCTACTCGTGAAACAAACCAGGAGTTCTGTGTGGTGGCATCCCTGGAAGGACAGCACAAACTTTTTGCTAAGACAAGACACAAAAGCAGTCGACAAGATTATCAAACATTTCTCTCTAGCAGCTGGCTTGCATCTGTAGCTGCACTTCATGATTTGCAGAGAAGTTAACTTTCTTGGCAGCAAGGAAAAACCTCTGGTGATCCCAGCTGACCTGCTGCTCCAGCACAGCACAGCTTGCTGGAAAGAAGCCCCTCTAAAGAACATCATGAGAAGGCAAAGTTTCAAATCTGCACTCGATTCTGGGACACAGGATTTTGCAGAACTGACTCACTAGTCTGTTATCCAGACTTCACATGAGACTCCCCTGAGCAGCCATTTCAGGCTCTGTATAATCACCTGCACCACTTGCTCTGGCGTTACTTGTTCATAATATTATTTAGGCACTGGAAGATTAGGGGTATGCTCATTTTGTCCCTGCTGGAAGCCCTGAAAAGGATTAAAGGGGATGGAAACCAGCTGGCATGACTGCTGCCTTACCTACATTTGCTCTAAAACCCATCAGATCACAGTCAAGTCTGAACACATTTACCAGCAAGCAAGACACAACATGTGTGGAAAATGGTCAATCTCTACAAGTCTGGATTTTATAGCTACATCAACTATTTAAGACATTAAAGACACCAAAATTACTGTGACAGTACTTGGGCATTCCCAGCCTTCTGTTCTGATCCTTCTGCTCAGGATTTTACCTTTGTTTGTTTTTATCAGCTCCTGGTTGCAGTTTACAGTAGTAAAGAGAACAGCAGTTCTTGTTGTACAGCAGAGAAAATCCTAACACAGGACTAGCTTCACTATCAATTGCAAGGTCATTTTAAACAGAATAGATTTCACGTTGCCTTGTGTTTGTTCAATTTGCAGCTCCCCTTATATTGATTTGAGAGGGAGGAGATCAGACTTATTCTCTGCTTCACTGTACAATGAATTTGTACAGCACTGTGGTTGCCAGTCACGCCCCATCAGCCAGGAAAACCTGCAGGTACATTGTTCATTATGGGGTGCTGTAATACCCAGAGACACAGCTGAATGGGAATTGTACCTGCATGTCCAATTTATAGCTTTATATTAAAGCTGAAAGCCTGGCTGATGTCAACATATCAATTTCTGCTTGTTATCCTTCACATGAGCAGCATTTTTCAGCTAATTGGATGTTTCCTCCCAGACTAACCTATTCCCCAGGGCGAGCTTCAGCTGTGCAATGTGATGAATTTTTAACACTGACTGATGGCTCAGTAAGAGGTATTTCAGGGAAAAACACCAACAATCCAGATTGGGTAGCAAGGCAGAAAAACAGTTCATTTAACCCAAACAAGTACTGAAAAGGTGAGTGAGCTCTTACTGCTTTACCCAGCACAGGCTGTCATGTCATTCCCTGACCGGGATAAGAGAAAGAGGACAAGCTGACATAACCCATTTAAAAATCATTAAATAAGCTGTCTAGCCTGTAAAACTATTAATATGTCATGTTTGATACAATTATACTCTTCCATGTAATAGCCCCCTTTATTTTAACCTCTTCCCAGAAGCAACTTTGCAAGGCTGAGCTATCTGCCAAGCCACAGAATATTTCAGCACAGGCTTAATTTTAAGCTTAAGAATAACCTAGTTGAACTCCAGAATTATAGGATCAAGGGCTCACAACATTTTAGAATTAAACTGTAGCTAAATTACATGAAATGATGCTGGGGTTTAGACCAGTATCGCTCAGACTGTCCACAACAAGGCTGCTCTTCATTTTGAGGAATTTAGACCGAGACAGATAATATCAAGCAAAAGGATGACAAATGGCTTAACATAAACCATGACACATTCACACAGATGGTTTGGCAGACTGTAAAAACAACCACTCCAGTAGAACTGTCAGGGTTTTTGTTTTGTTTTGGTTTTTTAATCGAACACATATCCCATAGCAATTGGGTAAGTATTGAGAAGATGGATTAGCAGTAATAGCTCTTATTTCCATCAGGAAAATTATTAAGGAAGTTTCTTAAGCTCCCACTAAATTTCCTTTATTTACAGCCTCCTTGGCTGCCCTACTGCCCACCTCCAAGCAGACCTGGCACTGGAATGACCCACATCCTCCTGACCTGCCCCAGAGCTCTGCCAGAAATACCAGAGATGGTAACGAGGAAGGTTTGCATTATTCTGCAGCCTGTCCAGAAGGAGCTGGATCAGAGCCATGGCCTGTTGATTAAATATCCATCAGCTCACAATAATTTCAGCCAATATGGAGCTAGCTTGCATCAAACATACCGACAGGGAAGTAAATAAAGCAATAGCCAAGCCCTGGATGACATTTGTTTACATAGTCAAATGCACTTGAGGCTCTGGGGAAACTGTTTAATAGAATCACGGAATCATTCAGACTGGAAAACACCTTTAAAATCACAGAATCCAACCATTACACCAGCACTGCCAAGTCCACCACTAATCCCTGTCCCTAAGTGCCACGTCTACACATATTTATCTCTAAATAACTTCTCTTCTTTAATCAATAGCCAAAGAGGTGCTCTTATTAGAGAGTAAACATCCGTGTACTAAACTCCTGCGTACCCGTGGAGAAATAACCCAGGAGGAACAAACACCTCAGCTTTCCAATCAGCTGGGAGAAAAGCTTGCTAACAAAGAGAATTCCTTATTGCAAGAGATTTTATTTCTTAGTTACTGATTTCAGGTCTATTTCTTACGTTAGGCTGGTGAGCATAATTAACACTACTTATACCCGTGTATATTCAACTGCACTTTAAAGAGTTCAAAGCAAATGTAAAACCAGTGGTCAATTTAGTGTGTTTGCCAAGGACTTTCAGTAACTTTCTGCTGTAAGAGTAGAGAAAGCGTGGTTTGTTTTCAGAGATGTGGTTCAGCCCTACAGTGTGGGTGGGCTGCACGCCCCTGAGTGCCAGTGGTGTCAGTGACAGCACACCCCAGCAGGGATACCTTGTGGGACCAGGCTGATGGGTCAGTCCCCAACAATACAAAATGTTAATTTAGTAATTGTTGAAGACAACAGTCACAACAGAATTCCAGAGGCACTCAGGGCATGCACATCAGAGGCTTTTTAGAGTAAGAAAAGTCCTGCATGAGAGAAGTCTACAGGAGAGCACCCAGCTTCCTCCAAAAGAGGAGGGACTTTCTGCCCCTGCAGCACACAAGTTGGTTACAAACCAACACAGACCTTGTGGAAAGCTTTTAAGAGCATCTTCTGCACACAGCCAGTGAGTGGAGAGCAATGACAAAGCAATTGAGCAGCCTGTCTCCACTCCAGCCTGCTCCCACTGGAACCCCCGCCCGCAGCTTTCCACTTCGGGTGACCAGCTTCATCATCCCAGGCTGTTGTAATGTTAAGGATGATTCATGGTCTGGGGGGCTGGGGGAGGAAAAGGCAGCGGAAGAAGATAAAATGAAACAAGAAAGGCAATCTGGAAAGCTCCTGAGCTCTGTCTTTCCCTCCCAGCTTCTGAGCTGTGGGATGAAACATCTTCACATCATGTCCCACGCCACCCAGGCGCTGCCCCCTCTGTCCCTCTGCCCACAGACCTCGGGAACAGCCAGGCCTGCCCACTTCCTGAACAGGAAACCTCCCCCAAACTGGTTTCAATACTCACTCACAGTAAGCAAAAACTGAGGGGAGATAAAGGGGCTCACACTGACACAGCATGATGGTGTTTTAATACACAGCTCAGACAGGCCTGAGCACTGGTCCACAGACTGTCCCAGTTTTGTTTATTTGCTCACCCTGACATGGCTCTGACCTATGCAAATCACTTGCAAATAACACCCAAGCGCTGCACAGCTGAAAGCAAGCACCAGGGATTACTTCCAATAGGCAGCACTGACAAAAATACACCAGGTTTGGCTCCCTGCAGGCTGCAGAGCGCTCTGACACCAGGTCTGAGGCTCAGGGCCTCTTCTCACACCTCAGCGGTAGAACACGATCTCCCTGATCACGCTATGCAAACTTCACTTTGGCAGGCTGTGACCCAACCTCCACCTTATTTTAGACACTGTGACCTTAGAAAACACACAGAGAAATTAAAATAACGTTCAGGACCACATCAACCACAGGGGCCTGAAAGTGCTCCACACCCAAGAGCAGCCTCACATGAGGGCAGCCAGCACCGGAGAGCCTCGGGGCCAAAGGAGGTCCTGGATTGTTTAGCAATGCTGCTGGAGTCCTTAGGATCACTTGCAGGTAGGGGATTGGTATTTTTAAAGGGCTGACTTGGGAGTGTGTGGGTTGGCTGTTAGACAGCTCATATATCCCTGCTGCAGTGAGAGAGCCAGCCTCAAACTTTGCAGCAGCAGCCAAACAGGAGCCCCCAGGCAGATGCCTCCTGTCTCTTCAGGAAACAACCCCCTGCTTCTTCCCAGGAGGAAAACACCGATTAATAGTTCATTTGAGGCAACCCAAAACCCTTCACAATTCAAAAAGCTATAATACACATTATTACCATTGCAAATCCAGAGAGCAGAGCAGAGGTTCTGCTGGAGGCTTTCAGTTTGGCTCGGCTCAGGTACAACTTTCTCCAGGAAAGGGCTTGCACGGAGTGGTGGTTGGATGTGACCAATTCCAGGTAGCTGCGCCGGACCCAGTCCCGATAATCCATGCCCTTTGTGCCAGGCTCAGAGCAGCAAGCAGGAGTGGAAGGATCCACCGGAACGTTTAATTCAGAACTCATGATGAGAGAAATGCTGAGGGAACAAAACAGTCATGTTCACTAGGGGGTGGTGGACAGGATGAGCATTAACTACAGGAAAAGCTGCAGTTGAACAAAGTTGCCCTTGGTCAGTGGAAAATGATGGACCAAATAACATCACACTTGGAACTCAGAACTGAGAAAGTACCATCCAGAATTGCCAAAAATGACAACGAGAACTAGGAAAGATTACAAAGGTACACCCGAACTATTCCAGCAGGAATTCAGGAAGGCTGCACACCACCTGAGTTTTCATTTCAGAGAAGGCACCTCAACTTTGCCCTTTAATTCCTCCTCGCTCATAAAAAATTGGTTTACATAAATACACGTCACCCCCATCTTATCTTTGTTTTGATTTGACAGTTCATTTCCCAGTGCATCACAGGCTGGCTCCAAATGCACCTCCTTAGAGTATCAAACACCAGTTGAGAGGGTCACTTTTTGCTCCTTCCTTGAAAACCATTCCTCCTAGGTTACAATGTGGGGTGTAACCAAACTGAGTACTCCCATGTACATAATTCCTGATGAACTGCTAATGGCCGCTTGCAGGAGCTGCACTGTGCACACCCGACCCCCCAGGCTGCAAGCTGGGTGTTAGATAAGGGAAAGAGGCAAACCCTGCATGGCAGGGTGGTGTTTCATTGTCTTCACAAATTGCTTAACTCAGCCGTGATAGCTACACCCAGCCCAGGGGATCATCCCTGCCAATGGGCCATAATGGCTCAAGGGCACTAATGGGCAGCTGCAGTGGCCATAAAGGACTCCCCAGAATATCCCGTGACTCACAGCATCACATCATTCCATTGTGAAATTCCTCGCTCTGGGGGAGGTGCTGAGCCTTCCTGCCTGAATCTGACTGTATGTAATCTGGGCAGCCTGGGGACATGAACACCACCACTGGACAGCCAGGGGAGAACCCGAACTTCCACAGCAGAACCAGACCACCCATACGACCACTGCTTTTGAGAGCACTGCAACCATCACTGCTTAATCAGACTGCAACCACCACCCTGCCCGACACGGGCCAGGTTGTACTCTGACTTTGTGGGTTTAAACCAGTTTTTCTGTATAATTCCATCAACTGTGAGCTTTCTATTAAATTGTAACTCCGACCTGAAGCCTGTCTCAAGGTATTTGTGTGGGGGTTAACGTCTTCCCTGGTTTACTTTGAAACCAACACAGCAGTTTTTCTCAGTTCAACCACTGCTCATCAAAGCTCAGTTTAGATGGGCACAGTTCTCCCCTAAAAATCAGAGCTGAACGCTGTGTAGGGTTAACAAATGAACTTCCCGAGCTTTTGCAGTGGGAAGTTAAATTTCCTGAGCTGCTCACACTCCATTTATCACCCACATTTGACCAAAAATCCTGCTCCCTTACTTCCACCAGTGGCTCTGAGCAGAGAGCAAGGAAAAGGCAATTCCAAGGGGGAAAGCAAGCTGCTTCCAGGAAATTCCATCATCTGCAGATTCAAGGGATTACACTGAGAGATGCATGAAAGCAGCAAGGGTACTTGAGGTAGTGGAAGCTTACAGCACCACGTCCCCAGGCTGCTGCCAAATGGCTCAGGTGATCCTCAGACACGGGACAACATCCTTGGAATGTTTTGTGCAAAAATGTCTCAACTCTGACAGACATCTGAAACTAAATCTGCCTCCAAAAGAATGAAAACCACGATTTCTTGTTTAATCCCCTCACTCACTGAGCACTGTGGTGGTGGCAGACAGAAACACCAGAGCTGCACCTTCTGGCTGTAAAACACTGACCAGCTCCCAGGAGGAGATGCTGCCCAGAATCACACCTGGTGTGGCACTAATTAGTCCCAGCACCACCTCTCAAGGTCACAAGCACCTTTCAGCCCACCTGTGTCCCCTCAACTCCCCGAGAACCGGGGCCACATGGGGACAGCTAATAAAGCCATGGCTGCTGGGAGACTTGGAGTAGTAGCAAACATCAAAAGGACATCAACTGCCCACAACTCTGAATGCTGTTACTAAAAGGGAAGGAAGCTGTTTCAGGCACAATAACAAAGAATAGCAAATAAAGCACTGCAGGTCCAAGATTGTCCCTCCTGAACATGGGGGGGCTTTCAGGCTCCAGCCTCCTCAGACATAACAAGGATGGCAACACAGGATGATTCCTGGGTAGGTTTTGACAAGGCCATTATTACAGCCCCTGGAACACTCCAGGAAGGCTTCTGACCTGCCCAGGAATTTTCAAAACATTTTAAAGTAATAACAAAAAAAAAACCCAACCCAAACAAATAAACAAAAAAGAAAGGCCCACTAGAATATTCATGCCATAATAAAAACAAGAAGAGAAACAATAAAGGGACAAACCTTCCTGCTTGATGCCTGTTTCCAGAACAGCCAAGAATCACCTATTTTACAGAATAAAAAAGCCTCCTGGGAGGATTGGAGGAAGAAACAATCTGTGAGCAGCACAATTATGAAGCTGTTTCCTGTGACAACATCCTGTGTGGATCCTGCAATGTATAGCGTGGAGTGAATTCACTCCCTTTGTCCCCAGCTGGGACAGTGATGGCCTCTACTCTTGCCATTTAATTTCATAAAATACTTAGAAACTTTCTATGTAGAAAACTTTGACCCCTGGGACAAATTCCATTAATAAGACAAATGAATTCAGAGGTTACAGAGAGAGGGCAAGAGAACCCAATCACATCTGCCTCTTCCCTTAGAAAAATAAGCTAAAAATACCACAAGGCTGAATTTTTGCTCTGGAGCAGCTCAAGAGATGTTCTCAAATAAGTAAACAGCTTCAGAATGAAATCCATAAACACAAATGAAACCCAAACAAGCAGTGCCAGGAAGTCAAACTCACCTTGCTGGCTATGGACATGGAGGGAGGGGGTGGAGGGCTCCAAGGGCTGAAACACAAGACCAAATAAGCATTTTACATGTGCTGTAGCTGGAGCAGTTTTACCCTGGAAATACTTTTCGGCCTGTCATCATCACCAGGGGAGGCTTATTCTAGAGATTTCACCTTCCTGCCTTGCCAAGTTAAAGGTTTAGGATACTTGCTCTTACAGAAATAAATATACTACAAGATTTGACTGCATAGGGCTGCTGACTTCTGGGGAGAGTGGAATTCTCCAGACCTTTTCCTGAGGCAGCCCTGGCAAAGTCCATCCAGCTGTGTCTTCACTCACTTCCACTGCACCACCAACGCATCTGACCCCACTTCATCTCGCACTGGGAGACAGAAAGCTCTCTGTGATTGCTCCCTTATGTGCATTTTCTTAACCTGCCAAGTGCTGTCCTTCGGAAAAGGGAAAGCCTTTCCTCCTCCCATCTCAGTGCACGTGTGGGGATTTCTCCACAGCTGGGAATGAAGCCGACACCACCGGGAGCGGGTCCCCCTCCCACTGCCGCGCTCACCCACAGAGCGCTGTCTCTGCAGCACTGGCAGCTCCTCTCCTGGTGTCGGGATGCCAGCCCCCTCCTCAGTGCCAGGATTCTGCCCCACACCCCTAGACTGATCTGTGGGTTTGTGCCAGTCCCTGTCTTTCCTGTCTAATAGGCCATGGCTAAGCCAAATCCCAATCGCTGTTACTCCGGATGAGCTCAAGCCTTGTGCCATGGGAAGCTCCTTCCTATGTTCTCTTCCGGCTTGGGACTCCTCCAAGCAGCCCTCCTGGGGTGCCAGAGTACCGGGCAGGGTGAGAACACCCCACAGCTGTGACCACCCTTGTGGCAGCAGGGCATCACCTCCCAGGCAGGATGTGACCCCTGGTCCCACCGCCACAGCTGGGACCCTCCTCACAGGGACCTCCTCCCCAGCCATCCTCAGCACACCCTGGGCAGGAGGCGATGCCACGCCGCGAGGATCTCCCCTCCAACAGCACCACAGACAGGGAATCCCTCAAGGCAGGGAGTCCCACTCCCAGCAAGGCCCTTTCCCTCTAAAGACAACCTGGACAGAGGATCTTTCCTAGGCAGGACACAACCTCCTACCAGCGCATCCTGATCCAGCACCCAAGGATCAGGCAGGATGGGACCCAACCCCTCGCTCCCGTCTTCCAAAAGCACCCTGGGCCGGGGTCTTTCGTGCACAGTATGCTGGAGGTGTCTCCCCTACAGCATTCCACCGAGAGCATCCCTGTCCGGATACATCCCGCGGGAGCTGGCCTGCCTTCCGCATCCCACGGCACCTCCGGAGGATCCCGGGACAGGACAGGACCCCTTCCCTGCCCAGGGCGGACCCGTCCCACCCACCCCCTCCCTCCAGGGGCAGGACTGCCCCAGCCAGGCAGGAGGAGGCGCACATCCCCCGCCACCATCCCGGCACGGCATTCCCCCAGGCCGGGCAGGACAGGGCGCGTCCCCCCCACACCGCCCGGGCAGGGGAATCCCTGCTCAGGAAGGATAAAACCAAGTCCCTCAGCACCCCGGGAAGGACAAGCCCCCCTCCTCCCGGAGCCCCGCGGGCAGGAGCTGCTCCCACCTCTGCAGGACGAGCCCGCACTGCCCACACACGCCTGAGGGGAAGCGCGGGCCCCGCTGGGGATGAGCCCCCTGCGGGCAGGATGCGGCCCCGGGGTGGGCCGTGTCTCACCGCGCTGCTGTGCCGGGAGCCCCGGGAGAGGAGCGGGATCGGGATCGGGATCGGAGCAGGAGCGGGAATGGGAACCGGAGCAGGAGCGGGAACCGGAGCCGCCTCCGCCGCTGCCACGGCAACGCGGGGCACCGGCCACGTGACCCGCAGGAAACGGGGCACAGCGCCGCCACGCCCCCGCACGTGACCGCGCGCTGATTGGCCCGCGGTCGGTCAGGCCACGCCCACCCCGGCGCGGGGGCGGGGCCTGGGGGCGCGACCCCCGCCCGTCCCGGGTCTCTAAAGTCGGGCTGAAACCCACCCACTGGTAAAGATGTTAGTGGGTCTGGACCTTGCGTTATCTCTAAATCTCGCCACAGAGAAGGTATTGGTGCAATGGGATGCAAATGTGCTTTTATTACAATTATTAATTATACAGCAAAAAGTCGCCACTTACATAAGTCAAAAGGCAGCGCTGCTCTGCCTCCGCCGGGCTGAAGCTCCTCCGGCTGAGCACAGCTCCCTGCGAATCCCGACTGCTATCTCCCTGCTCTCCTCCGCTATTGACTCAGCAGGAAATCCTGTATAAACCCATCAAAAGGATAGGGACAGCCTTATGGGAAAGAGAGGGAGTTCCTTCCCTGGAAATGAGATAAAGAAAATGCTGAAAGGCAGCACAATGGGTCAGCTTTATAACAGGGTAATCCCATCTTCCTGAATTCCGCCTGGGGGAGGGAACAAAGGAGAACAATGCTTAAAAACCGAATAAAGAGACAGATACATGTAATCCTGAGTGTGCTTTTCACCTCTGAGAGCAGGAATACCCCTGCTCGGTTTCAGCACAAACACTGCTGTCTCTTAGGCGCCCACATTTGCACAAACACATGTACAGAGCAACTTTAGCCCTTGAGGGTTAATCTCCATCAGAGAAAGGAGAAGGACTCCTCTAGAAAAGAGCTCAGAGCACGAATTTAGTGTAAGCAGGTCAAACTCCTCGGCAGTTTCAAGCCTGTAAGTTATTACTGATTTCTTGGTGCCCTATTTGGAATAGCAATCAGTTGTAGAGTTGTTCCTGATTTTACTATGCACAGGAGCACTTCCCCTTTTCTACTCCATGGATGAGGTTTTCCCCGTTTTTGAGGTCACATAGTATTTGCATTTTATTCTAAATGAAGAATCATCCCTTGAAACCTCCCTTTGAAGTGCTTTGTATTCTCAACGAGCTCGTACTGCCACGAACAACCACAACAGAGTGTTTATGGGAATTCACAGCTACACCTACCAAACGCAGCTCCTACTGCTACACTCAGCCACCCCGGCGAGACAGAGCGTGAGGCAGATGCCACCTTCACCAACATGCTCTCTTTGCTGTTTATGGATTTCAAACTCGGCATTCCCGGAAAACACAGCATGAATAATTCAGCGCGGGCATCTTAGGGAGGCAGGATGAGGCCACACAACCTGAATTTGTTCAATCACCAAGACAAACTCAAGTTCACCTTCCTCATGGATGAGGGAAGCATGTCCTCACTCAGCAGCATCTGCTCTGCCTGATGCAGAGCAGCAC